GTTAGATAGTGGCCTATTAATATGATCCGTTTAAAAATCGTCTCTTAAAGGCCGTTCAGAGACTTCTCTTTACATGCTATCCCGATCGACCTACACTAAGCAAGACTGCACATGATCATGCTTAACACGGTGGCAGAACATGGACCAAGAATGCACACGCTTAAAATCAAATATGTTTGCCAAGGTGCGATGTGTCGCCAAAGGTAAAAAAATGTCGCCTTTGCTCACAATGTACCTGTCTATCGTAGCTGACTTCTTTGATAGCAATTCTGGAGAATCTCTTTCTGGACTGATGCATTCCACAGCTGGGATACGCAATCATGTGTAAATGCTAAACACGTTTCTAAACTCATGTTGGGATGTCAGTGGCATCTTCTGCTTGAGTGCTCTCCTGTGTTTTTTCCCCAAATTAATCATTGTATTAATGAAGTCTGTTAACGATATGCTGAGCAGAAAGGTAAATAAACAGGAGCGCTTCACTCCCCTGGCAACCAAGCGGAAGGGCCACGCGCCAGCAGCGTCTCTCCTTCGCTAAGGTGACGGCATGTTCTCTGGCGCGCTCACGAGCTGATCCATACCAGGTGCGATACTCTGGCGACATTGGAGCCGGAGTCGGGCTCGGTCAGGTCAGCTGCTCTGTGTCACTCATACGCCACTCCGGTGTCAAGAGGTCACCTTCTCACGTCACGAATGTTCATGCGTATACGATGCAACGGGTGTTCACGGGTACTTAAGAGTGTACGAGACCTACGTCACGTCACGTCGCGGCGCGACACGTGCGGTCGACTGCTTTCTCAAGTCACGAGCGCCTGGCTGCGGCCGGTCGCTTCCCCTTGTCATGAGATCTGACGGTATTCGATCACTTCCTGACGCGTCGAACACAGGCGATGGTCGGTTGTTTTTTCATGTCACAAATGTAAGGTGAAGTGGGCTGTTTCCTCACGCCGGGAGCGTTTTGCTGTCAGTCCGGTTCACTTCCTGCTTCCTCCCGCCACGCATGACTGGCGGCGGCCCATCCTCGTTGCATGCGGTGCGCCATCGAGTGGTCACTGTTTCCGTGAAACTCGAGACAAAGATCACAAGCGTTTCTTGACACCTGCAACAGGTGAGGGTCACGGCCTGACAGTGACGAGACGGCTAGGTGCATTTGCTTAGTGTAAGCTCAATGAAGCTAATGTGCCTATTAGAGGGGGGAGCCTTGGAGGCAGCTTACTGTGTTCGGGTCCGGCGTCCGCTCTGGTAAATACCGCTTCATGAGCCAGAAAGCAACAACTAACCAATCCAAACACCCACAGATCTGGGTTTTGTGTCGCGCAAAGCGTTTTAACTTGGACACTACGAGATATGCGTAAACGTTGACCGTTTCCCGTCTCTGGCAATAGCCATCGAACCTTGGTCCAGTGCTGGAACCACAAGGCTTCTGCGAAGTCTCTTTGTACGAAGCAGACCAAAGCATGCTTTGTTGGGGAGGCGTGGTGCACTGTTCAACCTACAATTTGCAAAGCACATCAGCATAGTATGTTTTCTGCGGGCAGTTAACGTGAAGGGGATAACCGCCTCGGGCATGGATATTTCCGCACGAATATTCGAAGCACCCGAAAACATTTCGGACATGCAAGATTGATTAAGCACAAAGCACCCCTCCTTACACAGGGAGCAGCCGTGATGAGTCGCACACTCACAGCACCTGTTCATTCCAACGGCACGCGTTCAGCCGCGTGGTGTTGCCGGCTTGTTCGGTCGCCTCAAAGTGAGCTGCGCGGCGGCGGCCGGCAACTTGCGGGCACGTTGATCCCTGGCGCCGGGTAGCGGCCTCGGCTACGGCGCTGTCCAGAAAACAGCGCCCGCGCCGGGCCAACGGCAACACACAGAGCGATGACAGTGGCGCTGTTGGCCTGTGTTCAGGCTTCGCCCGGCCGCGGCGCGTGTATTGAGATAGCAGGGATCGGTCATTGCTCATACGCGCGGCCCGCGTGGCCGTGTTTGCCGTGGGCCCGGTGTACGGTGAGTCACGTGTGAACCCGACGGCTGCTGCTATCCTGGGATGGGTAAACAGCGATTGCGTTATTAATGGGATCTGCGGGTTCCTGTCGAGAGGGGCACACTGTGCCAACGATGTGCGCGCCGTGGTCATGGCAACCGGCCCCCGCAGGCAACTCGCCCAGATGTGCCCCTGGCAACAGGGGCCGAACGCGACAGCCCGAATAGCTCGGCCCGCGTGCACAACGCCCCCGCTCGCTAAACGACTGCGAGGAATGCACTTCCACCCGATAGACGCCATCCCCATTCCGAGGCGGTCCGAGACCGCGATGCATCCTCCTCGCCGGTTCGCGTGCACGCGTGTTTTTCGTCGTCCGAGGCCTCTCACAACCCATTGGTGTCTGATTTAGGCGATTAGCTGCTTGAGCGGGGATGGGCACGCGTCTAAAGCCCGGGTGCGTCCTTGCGTGACATTCCGAGCCGGCGTGATCGTTGGCCGGCGTGTCAGGCCGCTGTGCCGTGGCCAGGCTCTCACAGGCCGCCGCGTCCCATGGCGGCCGGAGGGTGAGCCGGACAGCCGCGCGGCGGCGCGGCACCTCCCCGTGTAGCCGATAATTAAGGCACCGCTTCGGAACGGCTGACGAACTCTGCAATTATCGAGGGATGCTGGAAATGGCAAAAAAGCCGGCGGCGGCCGTGGGATATTGGCGTGGCTTGGGAAGAGCGCGGAGAGAATCCCGGCTCATCAGCGTCAGGGCCGGCCTTTGGGACGGCCTCGGACGTGTGATCAAGACGCCCCTCACTCGCGCGGTGGCTCACGCGGACGCTGAGCATGGCTTCCACCAGAGAAGCCTCTGCATCGCGGGTGAGTTAGGCACTGCCGCGCGTCAGCATTCGCAGGCTTATAGGTTTTATCCCACAATGTTTGCCTGGGCCCTGATTTCAGACACAGATCACCGAAAAAGCCACCAATAGCAGCTTACAGCACTGTGCAGCTTTAAGATGCTCTTTGTCACCGTATGCATTTCGCGAGCTCCGTCCCTGAATTACGTCCACCATATTTTGTTGACCGCGCTTGACCGCCTCCGGGTGTGACACCGCTTCCCGGCCCGGCATCAGATAGTGGTGGAGTTCCTCAGCCGCACAGCCCCCGATCACCACTGCAATTTCCCGTTTTGACCCCACCCTGGTAACAGCGGCCCGCCGGCTGCCAGCTCCCGCCCTCTCCCCGCTCCCTGCAGAGGGGCATGAGATCACTGCGGCGGCTCGGTGGCTCCGGGCACAGCGGCGCCGGCCCCGGTGTGGGGTCACCGGGTGGGGCTGTCGCTGCCCTCGCCGGCTCCACGGATGCGACATCCTCTGGGCTGAGCCCCTGTGTGGTCCCAGCCGCCCGGCTGGCAACATCTTCGGGTCATCAGTCATCGCCTCAGGGCGCCACGGTGGTCACCGGCCGCGCTGCTCGGCGGGGACGGGGTCAGCGTGAGGTCAGCAGTCGCCTGGACCGACGTCCGGACGGCTACCACCGCCGTCTCGTCCCCGGAATACCGAGGTTCGCGCCGTCATAACCCTCGGCGGCTGGAGACGGGGGACCCGATGGCCAAGTTTGCACGGACGGACGCCAGGACATAGCTGACATCTGAGAGGCATGAGTATGCATCTTCCTGTCAAGCACAGAGTCCACTGTGCGATACCGGAAGGAAAATGGAAAATAAGACGAACCGCCTTGAACGGGGAGGAACGCGCACCTCACCAACGCCTTAGAGTGGCATCCGTCACCGCACTGGTCTCGATATTTTTCGTGTTCGTGAGGACATGAGCAGGAATGGGACCGAAGGGAGGACTGAAGTAGGTAGCTTTAAGCTCCCAGCATATTTTACGGTGGCTGCAGCAGATGTTCGCTGTATGTGCATGTGGTTGTCATCAACGAATTGCGGGCCCGCTCGGGAGGCGTTGCCCTGTTTGTGTGTTGTGGGAGTGTGGAGTCAGTTCATGAGAGACCCACAGTCAGCACAACAACGGGGGCCTGTGTGCCGAATAGCTATTGTATTGCGAATTTGGTCATCGATAAGATAATTGAATAAATGACCCAAAATAAGATCAAGGCCACAATAGTTAATGTGCAAGCACACTTTGTGTTGTACCACCTGCGTCTGTCGTCGCCAGTTTTATCGGTATTCAGCAAATGCCTCCCTTGAGTAGATCCTCAACTTATCATCAACCATGGTGAAACAGCTGCAGCACAGAAGGGCTCGTCAAAAGGACTGCCGGCTGTACGTCCATCAGCTGTCAGTCCCCACGTCAGACTGTCCAACTACCACCGGACCATTTAGCTCAGCCTATCCCACTACGCATGCGAATAAAAATAGAGCAGGCTATTTCACGAAGCGCTACGAGAGCTCAACAACTTTCTGAACGGCTGCTTTAAGAGCGTCTTCCACATTCGATGGGTTTTGAACTGAAATTGCCGCTTTGACGACCTTTTGGTGCAGTTAACAGCCCTGTC